GGCAGCCATCAGTTACCGATGATCAATTAAGCATTGTCGCTTCTTCTGCGGGACGCAACTTGACTCTGATCATGTTGTTATGCCGGCTCTGTCAACTTTCTGACAGGATTACGTGTGTCAAAGCAGAGTAGTTTCATTCATCAATTTCGACAAGTTCCAGTAGCTAAAGAGTATCGAGCTGATCTGACTAGAAAGCTACTGAAAACGCACAGTTATGCAGATGACGAAGATTGCTTGGAGGTTGAAAGGAAGCGGATAAAAGAAGCTATGCTCTAAGCTTTCAGAACTGCCTGTCCAAGTCATCTGACTCGAGCAAATGAATACTGGATATCATCGAGCTCAGCCAGAAATTGCTGCCAGAAAGGCTATACCAGCAACTAGCAATTACAATGTCGGATGCAGATACATCAAACACCCGATAACTAAGGGATTGAAGAATTACAGAGCATGCTCGTGAATTACGAAGTCCCAGGAGATGCAGAAGGTTTTCTTTGCAGACAACAGCGGCGCTCTTTTTCAGCGAAAAAATATGCGAGAATGTCAAAACGGGGATCCACATACAAACTCGATGTCATGAGTGATGGGATGAACGCATCAAAGTTCAGCTGGCCTCCTCCAACCCAATCGCTGGAAAAATACAGCGGGCCTGAGTGGAACATCGACACTACCCCGTCATCAACAGCCGAAATTCAGCGTGAGATGTTAATCCTTCAACGCGACAGAGCACATGGGTCGGTCGGACAGTCTGGGCATCGCACCCTTGAAATAAGGTGGTGGGGTCTTGGTAAACAACCTGACGACCCCCTCAGGGCGGGGAATATGGAACGAAACAAAATACCAGTGGAATGGAACAACTCGACCGTCATTCCAGTCTCCAAAAAAGACGCCAGAACGTCATACGGAAGCCATTGTGGCATCAACCTGGTTAATCAGTTATCGGGAGAGATAAGTGTGTGAGAATCAAGCTGGGTTCCACCCCGGTCGAGGATACATAGGCAAAATCTTTACCTTGGAAAAGTTCTGCAACAGCGCCACTGCATGAATCGCCCCATATTAGTAATTTTCCCCGACATGAAAGCGGCCTTTGACTCTGTCGTATGGGGTTGTAGCTCCGTGCACCGATGACTTGGGGAGGTGAGGTAGGTAGCTGCGCATTGGGGGCGGGAGCTGATAAGTTGGTGCGTAAATACAGCACTGTCAACGGACCGTAAAGTGGAGGAATTGGGCAAGGAGCAACGCATTGAAGGCAAAAGCTTGGACACACAAACGCCATTGAGGGCGCGACTGGGCCATGTCTGACAATGTCTCTAACCATTGATGTGGACCATCTTGGGTTCCCCACTCAGGAAAACGGCAACGACCGGCGCAACGGAGTTTGCTGGCAATGACTTTCATACTTCGCTGCCAAGTCATTGTTTGACCGCCTCTAGCTCGTTTCCACTCTTCACGTAATTATGCGAAAAAATCCATTCGAGTGTCGCCTCTACACTTATATCCCTTATTGGGGTGCCGTATACGAACTTTTGTGCACGTGAACGGGCATTAGGGGAATTTTCTCCTCAGTTCACTACGTCCATGGCCGCCTTTTCACTACAGTTTTGTTGTTGATGATGCTGTTCGACGTTTCTCTGCCTGTCTATGAAACCTCGGAGGTCGAAAAATCCCGATAACAGATACTGAGTATGCGGACGTTATGGTTCGCCCTGGTTCAAATCCTTCAAGAAATGCAAAACACTGAATAAGCCTAATAATTCTCTCGCATGGTCTGGTGTGTGCTACACACCTACAAAGTGCAACGTGCTGTTACAAGACTGGGTGAGATCATATCCAAACCTCATGCCTGTAGACGAGCCAGTCACATAGTAAATCCCGATAACAGATATTGAGTATGCGGACGATATGGTTCGCCCTGGTTCAAATCCTTCAAAAAATGCAAAACACTGAATAAGCCTAATAATTCTCTCGCATGGTCTGGTGTGTGCTACACACCTACAAAGTGCAACGTGCTGTTACAAGACTGGGTGAGATCGTATCCAAACCTCATGCCTGTAGACGAGCCAGTCACATAGTACATAAATTTGTTTATTTGGGCAGTTTTATAGATTCCTGTATTCTGATTGGAGGCGAGATTACTTCTCGAATCGAAAAGGCTGGGGCAGCTTTCTCTGGTATACGAAGTGTTATCAGTTTTTCAGCCAACAGTAGAGTGTACACCGCGGTAATGCGATCCACATTGCTTTACGGATCAGGAACGTCGCCCCTATTCGCGGAGGAAGTACAAAAGACGTCAGTGTTTTACTATTGATTTCTCCGAAGCACTTGTCGGGTTCGATTGGGATATTGGCTGACAATGCTGAGATAAGCCAGACGCCGTCATGAGGAAGGAACTCACACGATAGCTGAATTACTCACGCTTCACAGAATACGCAAGGGTGTACCTTACTCTAAGGCTGCTGCGTCACTGACGCACATCAGTGAGCGGATGAATGCAACGCACTCACCAGTAATGAATGAACCAGTGCGATCGACTCATCCGCATAGGCATAACACAGTGTATGTCTAAGTGAAATCCATCTTACTTTCCAGTGAAACGGGAACCAGATTCGTGTTGCAAGTTGTCGGATAACTGCAATCCTCACTTGTCGGAGCCACGATCACTGCACCGTGAAATAAACATGTGCCTAATAATGGACATCTCAACGCCAAAATTCTCTTGTTTGATCCCGGTCTTCAAGCCAATCTTCAAGCCACACCTGGGTGTAATGCGAATATCAAAGCAGAACGGTTTCCACACCGCCATGGCTAGTGAACATATATCCATTCTTGATTTAAGTTACAGTCACGTCGAAAGAGGCGATGCTGAATCGTGAAGAAATTTGACTTCTTGTTAGATATGCGCATAAATTCACACGACAGAGTAGAAGTTTGCACAGTGTTCAAGCGCACACAACAGAGGATGTTGAAGAGTTGTGTCGTACTCACTAACCCGTGTAATACCTTGATTTGCTTATGTACTATGTCATTCAATATCGCCATTGGTTGTGGCCTGACCACCTGACATGTCACTGTGGGCCCGATTTCACCCCCACCCCAACACATCCTGAACTATACCAACCGAACTATCCGTTTCGTTTAACGTTAGTTGAACAAATCTGGTACAGCTGCGAGTGCAAGCTTGGAGTTTGTAGCAGTACAGTCATAAAGGCACACGTGGTATCGGCAACATAGATAAATGTCTGGTTGCGTGTGTTCGCTAATGATGGGAAGGGATGAACTAGTTGTTTGTCAAGATCGGTTCCAGATTCTGAAAGCAGACCATTACACGCTGAAGGTATCTTCCTATTGTGATATGCCTCGGAGATGGGACTACGACCCGTTGCCTCGCTCAAGAGTGCAGCTTTGCCATTTGCAGACGTTAAATACGGATGGCAAGGGGATCCGATCTCCAGACCCTACTTAAATTAAATTCACGACACCACAGTAAACGTAATCATTAAACGCAGAACCGTTCTAAGTAGTGTACACTGGAAATATTAAAACGCGTCTTGCTAGAGTAGTGCTCAGCCCTTTTCTGGAGGGGATAGTTTCGTTTTTTTTTTTTTTTCTACATATATCCATTCTTGATTTAAGTTACAGTCACGTCGAAAGAGGCGATGCTGAATCGTGAAGAAATTTGACTTCTTGTTAGATATGCGCATAAATTCACACGACAGAGTAGAAGTTTGCACAGTGTTCAAGCGCACACAACAGAGGATGTTGAAGAGTTGTGTCGTACTCACTAACCCGTGTAATACCTTGATTTGCTTATGTACTATGTCATTCAATATCGCCATTGGTTGTGGCCTGACCACCTGACATGTCACTGTGGGCCCGATTTCACCCCCACCCCAACACATCCTGAACTATACCAACCGAACTATCCGTTTCGTTTAACGTTAGTTGAACAAATCTGGTACAGCTGCGAGTGCAAGCTTGGAGTTTGTAGCAGTACAGTCATAAAGGCACACGTGGTATCGGCAACATAGATAAATGTCTGGTTGCGTGTGTTCGCTAATGATGGGAAGGGATGAACTAGTTGTTTGTCAAGATCGGTTCCAGATTCTGAAAGCAGACCATTACACGCTGAAGGTATCTTCCTATTGTGATATGCCTCGGAGATGGGACTACGACCCGTTGCCTCGCTCAAGAGTGCAGCTTTGCCATTTGCAGACGTTAAATACGGATGGCAAGGGGATCCGATCTCCAGACCCTACTTAAATTAAATTCACGACACCACAGTAAACGTAATCATTAAACGCAGAACCGTTCTAAGTAGTGTACACTGGAATTATCAAAACGCGTTTTGCGAGAGTAATGTTCAGCCCTTTCCTGGAAGGGATAGTTTTGTTTCCCTTTTACATTAGTGGAAAAAATTGCGGAGTTTAAAAACTGATTACAAGAGAGGACTTAAATGAGAGTCCTTCACATAGGTTGACGTAAAAGATTCAGGAAAGAGACGTGTGCACGACATCCAAATGGGTAAAACCATGAACTTGCTTCGTTTATCCCAACTTCGAGTCCCCATATGGAATACTGTATGCTGGCTACTTTTCAGAAATATTACACACACAGTTAGAGTTACACACGAAAGCGTAAGCTATGGTCTTACTAATTTGAGAATCAAATGAAACTCAACAGAATTTTTCGTACGCTTTCCCGCATCAGAACCTTTCACTAGAACCAATGATTGGACCACTCACTTTAATAACTGCCCCAGCTCCGGCTTGCACTATATCTCCTGGAATTTGTCGTAAATTGCAGCCTTCTAGACTCAAAAAGGAAAGAAGCGGTACATTGTATGTTGACTACTTTTCAGAAATATTACACACATATCAATAGTTACATACGAAAGTGTAAACTACGGTCTTATTAACCTGAGACCCAAATTAGACTCAACTGAATTTTTCGTACGCTTCGCTGCATCAGAACCTTTCACTAAAAACAGTGGTTGGCCCACTCACTTTAATAACTGCCCCAGCTCCGGCTTGCACTATATCCCCAGGAATTTGTCGCAAATTGCAGCCTTCTAGACTCAGAAAGGACAGAAGCGGTAATGCAGCCAGTTCGACGGGCAGTTGGTCCAAAGGTTTGTTGTTTTTCAGACATAAACGAGTCAGTTGCTTCAGGTCGCCTGGAAATAAGAACTGCGGTCATTAGTGCTTGGGAATATCCGGATAAGGTCACACGGACTCAGTAAAATGGTTGTCCTCATTCAGCAATCAACGTAAAGATCAACATACATCATGCATTCGGATGCTCAAACTAAAATGGTCAGACATAACCGGCATCTGATAGCAAACACACAATGTGGAAAGAAGACACTCTATCACTAGATAACGTTAAACTGATAAACAATATGGGCTTCAACTTTGATTTTTCTGGTTTCTGTGACTCTGATCCTTAGTGCATTGAAATCGCTCTAATATTTCGACTTCTGCTTCACTCAAGGTTGGCCTATTTGGACCATCTTCAACATGCGCAGGTTCTCTACTTCACTACTAAAACAGAATGGAGGAAAAAGCATACTTAAAAAAGATAGAGCTCCAGAGGTCGGGGAGTGTTGGAGAGCAGTCGAAACGAAAGTTAACCGCCTTACTGCGATCCATGTCTGTGAAGCAAAGCCTACCGTAAGATACGCCGGACGTTGAAGCATCTGTCTGATGAGGGATGAAAGTTGTAGCCTTCTAGCTTCTATCCTGTTAGGCCTACACATTACCTATCGGAATGTCGAGTTCACAAGCAAGAAGCAAGGAATAACTTGGAGTCAGATCCACAAAACTCACA